AACAGAATCATGCATTGTGCATGATGCTTTAGGCTTAGCCAAGTTATTGAAAGATTTCTCCTCATCCATAGTAATGATTAACTTCATGCCTATTGCCATGTTGGGGTATTGACTCCCTTGTCCATTTGATACAAATAAAAAAAAAATTTACTGCCCTTGCATGCATCTATAGGGATTTGAAGTTGCAACCTGTTGGAATCGATTGCCAAAAGTACACGAATTATTCAAGCAGTTGCGAGGGGACAAATTATAAGAAAACTTAAACATTAATTCTTCCTGTGGCAAAACCAAGGCAATATGGAATGCCCTAAAGTTGTTGATTCTCAAAGGACAAGCACCTGCCTATCATGACAATATCATTTATTAGTAACTAACTTAATTTTAGAATAGATTGCAAAGCATAACTGGATTAAGTTCCCAGTGGGTAGAGCTGAATCCTATTCTATTAGATGTTGTAATCATGGTTAAGGGAGAAGGGTATTCCAGGCAAAAAGAATAGCACGTTCTACATATTTGCATGCATTATTAGAGCAGCAGGCGGGGTACGCCTCTCGTCTGTGCAAATTGGGAAGAGGGTGTCATCTAGAAGGACAGAGATGTCAATCACATAAATAACACAAGGGACAAACCCTGCCTACGTATCTGCACTACCAAGACAATTACCTATCTTGTCCTCTCCATTTATATCACCCTGCCATTTCCTCGTGGGATCCCATATCCCCTCGTGACCTCCCCTCCCCCATCGGAACCATGTCAATCCCCATTTTTATTTTTTCACTTCAAATCCATCCTGGCCATATGCACTTGTTTTACCTTCAACCTTCTTTTGACAACCCCGTTATCTGCGATTCACAGATTTGATGCTTTTGTGCATGTATAAATAAATGAACATAACATAGAGTGCCATGTTTGTTTTTTGATATTTGAGTTTCTAACGTGTTTCTATATTAATTAAGTTTATGCTATGCAAAATGGCAAATGGGGTTGTCTTCCCCCTCCCTTCCTCGCTTCTGCTGAGGGAAATGGTCAGTGAAACAGACAAAAGAGAGTGCAAGAAGAGACAGAAGAAAGAACCTTGTAGCTTGTCGTTGTCGCATAGAATACTGATTTTGATTCTTTCTCTTCCCTTTTTTTTATCACTTTAGAAATAGAAAAGGAAAGTTGAAAGAGAAGATCGTTGCTGCTACAAGGCTATAAAAATAAATAAATATATATATGATTATTTATTAAAAAATAAAAAGAATACGCCCCTTAACTAGTTTATCTCTGTCTCACACACACACAGAGTGAGTCATCAAACCCTTTTTCTTTTCCACTTAAAATAATTAGTAGGAGTAGGGGTTTTATCCGTATTCGCTCTGTGTTTTAAGTTGTCTCTCCTTGAAATTCCCATATTCAACGTGATATAAAATATTGGTAAGTTTGGTCGTATTTGCATTGTTTATCTGCCAGAAGAAGAAAAGCAAAACAATTAACTAGTGTAGTATTTTGGAAAGGGAATCGGCGGTGGTCATGTGAGAGAGGGGTGGGGTTCACTTTCACTGCGTTTTAGAAATTAGAATAGAATCTTCTTGGCTCCTCAACGTGTAGAGTTTGAAGTAGAGAAAGAGAAGAGAGAGGGTGTGAAGATTTCGGGTAGTGATGGTGGTGGGCTCGGTAGGATCTGCGCGTCTAAGTTGCTGACAACTTGTTGAGGCGAAATGATCAGCCTTTGTTCTCTAGATTTCCATGCTATCCGTGGGGCCCTATCACACACTCCATATGTGATGAGTGTCTTAATGCAAACAAAAATCGATTTCCATATAGAAAATAAAGGGGAAAGAGAGAGAGAAATATAGACCTTTTTCTCCTTTCAGTTTTCACCTTCTTTTTCATCATCACTCAAAAACTGTTTCTTTGCTTCTGTTCCTTGTCCATACACTGCTCATTTTCATCAATGAGCTAGGACCCATTTTTGTATTTCTTAATGGACCCACCATATCTCAATATCTCATGTTTCACCCATGGATTAATTCCATGATTAGGTTAATCAAGGAGGTAATTAATCTGCCATAATTTGTAGTTATTCTGAACTAATTATGGTCTGTAAATTTGATTCTTCATAGTAAAAAACAACAAAAAAAAAAGGATAATTAAGGAGTGGCAGAGTATTGTTCATGTGGGGGAAACAATCTAGTGTTTGTGAGTTTAGAAATTTGAAAAAATTTACTGGCCCAGTAATTGTGCCATGGAACATGAATGAGGAGGAGAGTCGTGGTGGTAATAAATAGTAGTATTATGTAATGTTATCCAGGAAAAGTACAAAACAAGCATCACGAGAATGGCAACATACACCGAACCATCAAACAAAAAATAAGCAAAAAGACTGTCTCCATGTCAGCCGCTGCAACAATTTGTACAGGCTGCAGAAGGTCCTGGGGTGAGGGTGTGAACAATTGAGGGAAGAATTAAGAAAGTTAGGAGAAGAGAAAGGAAGAAAAAGATAGAGAGAGAGAGAGATGAGGCATAGCACGTTTTAGAAGGTGTTTTTCTCAGACTTGAAGAAGCATTTCCCATTATAATTGAATATCGGGACTTGAAGCTGACATTGCTTCTTTGCCATTGTCATGGCAATATAATTTCCTGGTCACATGCTAGCAAACATCTTTTTCCTCCCTTTCTTTCTACGCTCTATAATATTTGTTGTGGGTACTTGTTATATTTTTGGTTTATTGACTATTTAACTGAAATTTGCATTGGGAAGTAACTGATACCACATGATATAGTATATGTATAAATTAGCTAGCAAACAGTCAAAAGAAAGAAAGTGGGATGAAATGAAAGGGATCAAATCTAGTCTTGAGTACGGAATTTACTTTGCACCGAATAATTATGGCCTTTACCAAGTGAAAATTTGTGTGCAGTATATTCTTCTAATGGCCCTTTTGTTTTACTTGGGGAAAAAGGATGGATCTTTGAATAGTTAGAATATACCCCGACAGCTACCATTTCTCTTCTTTGCATTTCCTGGATCTCTCTTACACAAATTCACTAGTATTGCTCTAATTTGATTAAGTAGCACATACCTGAAGCATCAAGTTAAAGACCGATTTGGGACAGAATAACAGCAGTGAAGTATGATGTAGGAGCATCACTGTACCTCTTGTGTTGTGTTGTGTCTGGGGAAAATGGACAGCGATTGTGGTTTGCTTAATAAGATAGGATTAACTTTTGGAAAAACCTTTTATGGAGAATGGAAAGTACCCATGCCCCAAAGCAAATGTAAAGAGAGGAATTATCATGGGTGGGGGAACTGGGACAGTTTTAACTTTGTTTTTCCAACGATGAGAATCATGGGCATGATCAAAAATAATCAGCTGAGTATCTATGAGAAATAATTAGTCATCATTTTTCTATTTTTTCACTTTGGACCTCCCTTTGTGACCCTACTGTCTACTGGTCCTCACTCATCACAAAATGAATCCATTTCTCACTTTTATAGGATCCCTCACTGTCCACTCATTGCTATGGTTTTCATGCAATCTTGTTTAAATCTTGACACTTGTTGCTGTAAAATCCCAGATGACCCTTTTCTTTTGTTTTTTTACCCCATTTTCGTTCCATATTTTATTAGGGAAATATCAGCAAGTAAATATATATAATCCAAAGATTGAAGGTTTTCAGCTTGCTGTTTCCAAAATGTCATTTTTTGCTCTCCAAGGTAAGATAAATTTTCAAGCGCCCCTCACATTGACAGACAGACAGAGAGAGAGAGAAAAGACATATATAAAACAAAATTTTCTTGGAAGATTACAAGAAAGAAAGGAAAAGTCCAGATTTTTCTTATAAAAAAAATTAAAAAGGAAAAGCTGTGATATTTTCAGTCATTCATGGAAACTTTTAGGGCCAATAATTCAGTCACCTGAGAGCCACGTCAGCAAAGAGGAAGCCGAGCCGAAGTTGGAGGCTCAAAAGAGGAGGCTAAAGGGGCTACATTACATAGAGCTATAGTTTAGTTTAGTTTTTATAAAATTGTAAGTTAGTCAGTAAAGGCGGTTGCGGGCAGAGGCAGAGCGAGCATGTCTATTTTCTGATATTGAAGTTTGGAATATTACTACCAAAGAAAAAGGAGTAATGCTAAGAAGAAGAAGGCGAAAGAGAAACCGAAGCTAATGGAAGAAGTAGTAGAAGAAGCAGAAGAAGAAGCAATGTCGTCACCAAGAACAGGCTTTAAATCCCATCACGTAGTTCGATGTATCCTTTACCTTATATCTGCTAGAGTAGTAGAAAATGATGGGATTCGAAATAGGAGGGTGTGTTGGGTTGGTGATATTAAACAACAAACGGAAAGCTACAAAATGAAAAGAGGACACTCGTTTGACGTGAAGTGAAACCACCTTCCTTCCTTTCCCTTTTCTTTTTCTTTTTCTCTTTTTTTTTTCCCCCTGTCTATTATTCCTGCATAACATAATCAACGTTTCCCTCCCTGACCATATTACCCATCCCTTAAAACTCCATTGCATTTCTAAGTTAAAAGCAGCACACAGGTGGATAAAAGAATCATCTGCCACACTGCTTGCCCTTTTCATCCGAGCTTTTGCATTGGTTGATATGTAATGGGGTACATGTACCATGGTAAAGCTAGTTTATCAGACTTACCAAAGAAGCAGTGCAATAAAAGAGGCAAAAGGGCAATTGTTTTTCTGGTGCACTTGGAATAGCTAGCAGTAATCAAACTGTTGACTATTTTAAAGGTCTTTAACACTTAAATAAAATATTAGCAAGGAAGCAAAGGGAAAGGGGTTTCATTGTCAATTCCCAAGGACAGACTGCACCATCCCCCTGTGCCTGATTTTAAGTGGGTGTGCGCGGGATCAATTGTCAGAGAAGAGAGAGAT